TTATAGCATTAAGTCTTGTCATTTTCGTTTTATCTTTGTTTTTTTTTTTCTAATTTTTTAGTGATTCATATTAAACTTTGAATATATTTAGTTGCAGTAATCATTATTATTTGACTAAAATTTGAAGTCTTGTTTATTTATTTATTTATTTTTGAGATACATTGCAATATCATGTAAACTTATCATTGTGATCCAGCAGAAATTTTCAACCTCTAGAAAAGCCTAATTTTTTAACTGAAACTAAATTATATTACTAGCTCATGAAAATGCATTCAGGTACAGTAAATTACAAAGATTAGATGGTGGAGACTGCACACAATAGCGTCGACATTGACCATTTAAATTATACTTGGCAACCTAATCAACCACCCTATTAACTCTTCTACGTACATAGACAGAATTACACAAATTAAAACTAGCAGCAAGCATCTAAATTGATTGTACTATTGGTGCAATTTGCCAAGGTAATGGCAGAGCCTAATGTTCTTTCGTTGGGCAAGAGTTCAAATCCACCAAATTTGCATTTGAAATCCACTTCTACCACTTGTGTGCCTGTCGGTTGAGTTTTGGGTCTCAGATGCAAAGTGAAAAGGGGACCAAGATCTTACCCATATAGGAAAGAAAGAAGCCCAATGTAGTGCCTAGCCCCACAACTTGACCAGATAAACCAATCCACCACAACCCATGTTCGCATACTCTTTCGTTTTCGTGTGTTGTTCCTTAATTTATTGCAAATGGTTTTTTTGAAAGAACTCTCCAGCCTCTAAGCAAACCCTCCAGGGCGGCCTTAATAATGAATTCCACAAATCAAAAGTTCCTCGGTGCAACAACTTAGATTTCTTTATGTGAGGCTTTATTACCATTTTTTTGGTGTATTTCTATGAGGCTTAGCTCAAACAGATCTTGGACTTATCTGGTATTCCTCTTTTACGTGGGTCACGTTTTGGCTTTTTTGCAATTTAGTAACAGGGATTCCCTTGTCCTTTGCTTGTCCGCACAGCCCTCATCTGACCTTTTGCTTTTCTCTTCCCTTTTTTTTTTTTTTTCAAGTTTCCATCATTCAAAAAGTATTTGGTTAAATCTCAAATCCTTTAATTTTAGAGTGTTGTATAATCTTTGTTTCTTAATTATTTTAAATATTTTTTAGTTTTTCATTTTAAAAAAATAATTTTTTTGTTTTTTTAAAATTAATTTGTTAAATATGTCTTTATATATTTTTAATTCATGAACTCATAATATATTTATATAAGTTTAAGGGTTAAATATATACACATATATATATATAGAGTTAATGGAATAACTAATTAAAGGACCAAAAAAGTATGGATGCTTTTAGAATTATAATTGAAAACTTTTTTATGTAGCCGTTGAATACTTTTAAATATATACGTGTTTGATAATTTTTTTTCAAATCATTTTTAAAAAAAATTATAGAAAGCCACATCATATGTATAGTAATTTTATATATAAAATCAAAAGTTTCATGTTTGACCTTTTTGATTGTGACTTTTAAAGAAAACACTTAATATTTAATATAATTATAAAATTACTCATTAAAATTCAAT